TTGAAGGGAAGATCAACAAAAGCAAACTGAAACTTGTACTGACCAATGGAAAAATCCAAGGGTAAGCCTGGCAGCAGTTCAGTGTGTTTGTATTCATACCAAAGGTGATGGCTCTTAACTGCTTATCCTCTGGTTTTAGTAAAAAGGGTGGCAGCAGAAATGGTGCAGGAAGGGCAGGAAAGTTCAAACATCTTGCGATGGAGGGATCGAGCATGTCTGAGTTGGAGTCTGAGGATGAGCTGCAGATTGACGAGACCCCTCCTCCACGGCGCAAGCCTGCAGGACCCAACAAGAAAAAGAAACTAAGCGGTGAACATTTTACATTAAAGTGTTATGATGTTGGAATGGTGTAGCTCTTGTTCGGACATAAAGTCAATATACCGGTAGCTGTTAAAACATTTTGGACTATTAGTGAAATGTGGAGCTTAATATAGTTCAGTAGTTTAATTTCAAAGCCACATTGCTACTGTCACCTAACTGGTTTAAAATGTTCCTTCAGGTCTTCCAAGGAAGCTGCCCAGAGCCAAACCTTGCTCTGACCCCAATCGCATCAGGGAGCCAGGGGAGGTAGACTTTGACATTGAGGTGAGATTAAAATGGATACTGTAGCCGCCTTTCAGCTGTAGTAGCCTGTACTAATCAGTCAGTCAAAGATGAGTGATATAATTAACTACACGCTTCTACTCCCAAGTTTAGCATCTTGCTTTTCACACCTCATCACAAATGGTGTTTTTCATAATGGGCTTGCTTAAAATCACTCTTTCCTCTCCACTAAACCAGATAACATTGGCTGCTTTATCACAGTCATGTATCCACATTGATCACTTACTGTTCAATCAGGCTGGATCACAGCATCAGCATCCATAGGCAAAATGAACAACCAATCACTGATGAGATCGCCACTTTGGATTCTGTATTTTGGAACAGCAAGCCTATTTTATAAATGTTAGTTTGTGAACTCCTTACCTCTTCAGCCTGTTACTAGCATTACACTTTTGATTGTGATAACATAGTCTCTGTCCTCCATACAATGGAATAAAACGATAGCAAAAGGCCTAATTATAGTTGTTTAGTAGAAATGTATCTAAGAGTATATAAACTCCGCTGTCTGTTTGGTTATCTTGACATGTCACGCATTCTTCATTAGCACTTTATTATTCCAGCATTGGTTAAACTGTAACTTCAGCATGTTTGTGCATGTGGCTCCAGGAGGATTACACCACAGATGAAGAGGCACTAGCTGCCCACGGGGTGAAGGGTGGCGCGGGGGGCATTCTGGACTTATTGAAGGCCAGCAAACAAGTGGCAGGCTTGGACTCTTCAACCCTCAGGTTAGAGATGTGATGGTTTTCTAGAATACATTTATTTCAATTATTTGTGTTTCATGGTGTACGAAGTTATGTTCCCACAAGTGGGAATAAATGTCTCGCTGTGTTGTTGCAAGAATCCAATAACCTTTGAAACTTGCATAGTTCACATATTTGCAAGACTCTGATGCTACGCTATGTTTAGGAGGTTTATTTTTGAGTGATTGTTCAACTCTGTCCTTCTCTCAGTGAGGAAGCCCCAGCTTCTCCCAGCACTCGTGATGCCATACAGGGTATGCTGTCCATGGCCAACCCCCCTTCTTCGTCCTCATCTTCCTCCTCTTCGTCTCCCCTATCCATTTCTGGAGGATTGACAGAGGGATTGGGGGTGGTCAAGGAAAAGGGTGGCAAGGCTGTGTGGTTGACTGGAGGGGTGAAAAAGACAAAAACTCCTGAGAAGAAACCTGTCATCCAGCGGCCCGGGAAACGGCCAATTAAACGGCCCGTCCGTCACCTCAGTGAGGAGGACAGTCCTGATGACCAAGACACTCTCGGAACCTGTTTCAAAGATTCAGACTATGGTGAGCAATATGTCAGTGACTAGTCTACAAATCAAGGCTAGTAAAAGCAATAAAGCTCTTATTTAGCCAATGTTTAATCAGGGTAATCGCATTTTCATTTCAGTTTATCCGTCCTTGGAGTCTGATGAGGAGGACCGTGCTAACAAGGCTAAGATGAAGCGGAAGAAAAACTGGGATGACACACCCTGGAGCCCGAAAGGTAAATGTATCAGACATTGCAACAATACCATTCAGAAGGCTTTTTAGCTCCGCTAGCTGAAGGATGACCATTTTAATCATTATTTTCTTTTACAGCCAGGGTGATGCCCACCCTTCCCAAACAGGAACGACCTGCCAGGGAAGGAGCTCGAGTCGCCTCTGTAGAGACCGGTCTTGCAGCAGCTGCTGCCAAGCTGGCACAACAAGTGAGTTGTGAAACAAAGCTTATTGGTCTTTGAAGTATGTAGAAAGTGAATTATCTGGCGCCTTTGAAGAAAGGAAAAATACTCTTGTTTTTTCTTATTGGCTCTGCACCAGGAGCAGCAGAAACCTGCTAAAAGGAAGTACACCAAGAAGCAGCGTCCTCCCGCTCCCGTGGCCCTTCCTCCCCCCATTCAGGCTGAGCCAGCCCCACCCTCACCACCACCTGCTCCAGAGTCTGCAGCAGACCAAAGCCCAGACAGGAGAATGGATTACTTCTCTGCTAGTCTGTTGGACCATGAATACACAGCAGGGCCAGGAACTTTTGGCCCTGGGGGCCCTCGAGGCAGCGGAGCACTGGCCCCTGGCGTTTTCCTTACTTCACGGCGACCTTCACTTTCTCCACAGAACAGCAGCTCTCACTCTGCTACATCCCCTGCAAGTTTAGCCAGCCAGGGAGCAACAGGAGTTGGTCAAGGTAAGCATAAATGTAAAGCCCTGATAGCATCATTTCATATCTCTATGACTGCACCGTTTCTAATTTATTTTTTCTTTGACTTCAACGTAGGAAAACGTCCAAAGAAAGGACTTGCAACTGCAAAACAGAGACTTGGAAAAATTCTGAAAATTCACCGAAATGGAAAACTTCTCTTGTGAGAGATGTTGGAAATATGGCTAAAGACTTTTGAGTGGGAATGAAGAAAAACGCTTTTGTGAAAGAAGGTCTGAAGGAAATAGATAGTTATCTATATTTTGTACTCTAGATACATTTGTTTACTGTTTTCACATGTTATTGAACCTTTCTATATCTTGTCCTACACCAATTGCTCTGCCCAGCTAATTGCAACCTGTTTTGGCACCCCATTTATCAGAATATGCTAGAGTATTTTTAGAGGCCCATCTGTGACTCTTGATGATCACACCTTGACATTGGCAATGGCAGATTGTGACCAGTGGACTTTACTTTAACTAGCATAATTCATTGACTGAACCCAATGGTTTCATTTATTCAGAATTGTTTTAGTTTATTTGTATTTTAGTGGCTCTATTTATGACAGAGATATTCCACTGTTCATCATACTTTTTAAAAGGGAAAGAAAAACAAATGTTCTAGTAAGGTAAAATTAGATGTCTTTATAGTCCTCACACACAGTCATGGAGTTGTAGTATTCTTTTCAAAGTCATTTTTACCTCAACAAAACACATTCTTGTGTGGTATGATGATGACGACAGGATCTTAATCATTACACAACTATAAAATTCAGTGTATGCACACACGGTCAACACACAGAAAGATGTTTATATAAAACATTTCCCTTAACATACTGCAATTCTACACATTAAGTTCAAAGTGCCCGACTGATGCCAAGAGTAAAATCCTAGTTTTATTTATTTCGGTATTTATTTAACAGAGCAGCATGTTGCCATCTCCCAACCTGTTTTAACATGGCATGCTTTTACCACCTTAACTTTTTGGTCCTTACTTTAATTATTTTCAACCACTTAATACCTGTACAAAAATGTATCCCTTGCTTAATTTGTTGTTAGTTTTTTTACAGTTTATGTTGTCCTTGTAAATAATTGTAATATTTGTAATTTATATAGCTACATTGGAAGAGAAGAACAACATGGGATAAATAGACTAGTTTCATGCAGGTTTTCATCGTTTGTGCCCCAAATGTCGGCAGAAGTCTCGGGCCAGATATAGAGATGTCTTTCAGTTTCCACAGAATGTACTAGTTATAAAATGTTGGCAGAATGTTAGATTTAACTGTGTTAAAACATTGTGAAGGTGCAGGACATTAATTGATATGTAAATATTTGTTGTAATTTAAGTTCTTTTATAGTCCAAAAACTTTGAAATATTTCTTAACATGACTTGTACATTGTACAATGCTGTATTTGGTAAATATCAGAAATAGTTCATTTTTTATATTTGTACGCAGTAATTTTCATTCTTAGTTTGTCATGTTGTCTTGTCAGTGTAATAGTTGAAATGTTCTGAAAAAAATGCCCTTGTTTGATTTCATCCATTTTGTTTTACATTATTATTGTTGATATTCACTCTTGTGTTGATGTGTACTGTGTTTTAAACATGATGTGTATAAAACGACCTGGAACAGATAAAATATACCTTGGGCAAAATGTATTTTTTCATTGAATTTATTTTAGAACTATTTCTATAGTTTGACTCGTGGACCAAAATAATGGTTTTCTCTTTAATATGCTTTATTCTCCTGGAGATCCTGTTACTGAAGTGTTTTTGGTGATTCTTCAATTCGATTTTTTCCTGTGTGTTAACACAACAACAAATCTAAAAGTATAAATTAATATTAATACACCACTTTAGATTTGATTATTTAAATGATTAGTGTTGACTTAAATGTTCCTGAATTCGTACAATTATGTCCACACATAAAAATAATAAATAAAACGTTCTCAGTCATAAGGGTTTAAGTTTGTTTCTCAGTCATTATTTTATATAGGTCAGTGCATTTAATCACAGTTTAAGTAAGTAAACTAAATGTAAAACCGTACATGTTTTTCATAAATCCTGGAGAATTATGTTTCGTGCTTTTGTGTGCACATCTAAATCATTAGGACGATGCTGGAAATACCAGCTAAGGCTGTATGCCGTCTTCCAGATGAAGACGCATTTACATCGTTATTCTGTACAACAGTACAAGGGAGTGCCCTGGGTTAACGCAGCAGCAGCAGGTAATATCGCGAGATCCAAATTATCCTACCACTCGCTAGTGCAAGATGGAGAAGCAAATGTAACACGCATTCGAGGTAAGCGTTAAGACTTATTCCACAGTATTGACGTGTGTTTTTGCTATCTGTTTCATTCATTTCACTTCCTTAACAACTACCATCGATGATTCACAACCGTCATTGCCACCCGAGTCCAAAAAACTAGTGGGTTTTAATTGTAAAGTACGGATCCTCTGCTATGTAAACCGCCATTTTTAATTTAGCCATGATCCCACTGATAGAGCATTGTGCGGAGCAAGGCTAGCTAGTTAGCTCATGCGAAACACGCAAATAAACACTCCACACACATACACACACTTATGTTCACTGTGTGTGGGTATGTGCCCCTCTGTACAAGTCAAAGCGGTACCCTCGTCCAATGCCTACTCCCTTTCCTCGGGAATCATCGTACAATAAAATAAAATGTGTTTCAGTTTGCAGATATGGCTTAATCTACCAACGTTAGCCATCAAAGTAACTAACAGTAGCAGTTTAAGCTAACGGGTAACCTAGCTAACGTCATCTAAATAGCTTTTAACTTTGCTAACGATAGCACCGCCATTGATTTAACTGCGTAACGTTGGGTGGCTACCTCAATAACATTGACACACAATGTGAGTTCATTTTACACGGTCACAACTAAGCTAACCAACTAGTGAGTAATACACGAGTTAGAAAATGTGGTAACGTTACTCAGACTAAGCTAACGTAAGCTAATGTTATCTTTTACGTAGCGTTGTTGTTTGTGGATGTTATAATTCAGGGATTTAGTACATGTATTGACTCGGTAAGCATTACAATGTCAAAAATGCTTACAAATAGTGACGCACATCACATTTACATTTTATATGAAAAAAAAAGTAGTGATGCATCGCAGTGAAATCAGCCAACAATTATTTTTATGTAAATCTGTCAGCATCCGCTTTGGTCCTTGTCTTCCTATCACTCAGTGACCATTGCGATGACATGACAACAAAAGGCGTGAACTTGTTTCTAGGAATGCTGCATACTGTGTTGGTTTATCCTGTAAATACTGGCTGAGTGTATTCATTCATACGGCTGAGTGTATTCATTCATAGTAGGACCTTTTTAATGTTTGTCTAAGAATGTACCGAATATATGGGGCACCTACATTAATTGTATGTATATCTGGCTTGTTCATAAGACATTCTGAATTTAACAATCAGTTCGCTTGAGAAGCCATATCAAAGACAAGTGTTAGTTGGGATTTGAAAGTGTCAATGGCAACACGTTAACAATATGTAACTGATTACAAGTTACACTTTAAACTTTGCTTATCAGTCAGCATTATCAGAGTATTTCTTAATGTGGTTGGTTTGAAAGTTACTTTTTATTTTCACCAGCGTTGTTTGGTGTGTACACCTGTCAGTAAAGGTGTTTTGCCTATGACCAAGTGTATTGGATTTTCTTTTATATCTGATCAGATTTTTCTTTTGTTTCAGATAGTTATAAGACACTGCAAAGCAAGCTGAGGATGAGGGTGATCAAACTATTGAACCAAAGCAGTTTCTGGTATGTAACTTTTTTTACTGTTTATAGACTGAAGTGATTTTCTGAATTGTTTCCACACTAGAAGTTGCACTGAAATTGGGTATATCAGAAATATTGTGTTCAGTAACGACATTTTAAATTATTCACATTCATTATGATAATGAATGATTGTAAAGCTTATTTTATTTCTATCATTCCATTTTAAAATGTGAACTTGTATTTCTCTTTGTGTGTTCTTTATCCATCCAATGTGTCAGCTGTGGTTAGTGGTTAGTTGTAGTACAAAATGGTGTCAAATTTGAAAATAAATGCATTTTGTCAAGGAATGAATCAAATACAATATTTTACAGAAAGAGTAAACATTCTGTGGATTATTTGTTTTACTGCTACTGAATAAAATTGATCATCAAGTGCATCAGTATCGGATGAAGATGGCCTTTTTGACATAATTACCATATTCCTTCCAATATTATAATTAACAGCTTGCATTACATTCCTGAACTTGTAACAACTCAAAGTGTGAATACAGTTTTTTTTCTGAGGCTCTAGTGAATCACATACTTAAGGGACTGTTGTGGAAATAGTGTTAAGATATTATGTAATCTACAGCGGTAAACATTACGTTAATGGGTTACCATTCATTAATAAACTTTTTCTACCATCATGATGTCAAGTAATTTTCAAATTTGTCCTCCTAGTTTTTTTTGAAAACACGGCTTTGAATGTGTGTTTTATTCATAATTTTAATTTTGGGGGCAATATTAGTGATCTTGTCCACCAAATGAAACGGCTGCTATTTAAAATGTCAAAATGTACACCCCCAATACAGGCCGATTCAAATATTGTGTTTTCGGTATTGTGCATAAGCCTAATGCCAAGTTGAGATGGGCATTATAAGTCTATAGCATTTGATGCTTACCAAACATAACTGAAGAATTATCAACAGTAAACTTAATAGTTACCAGTGTCATCATTAGGGAGCTTTAATCAGTTTATTGTTGGCTTGTTAAGTCACCATATATCCTCCAGTTTGAGTAAATATGCTGTTAATGTGGGCTTCCATTTGAATGAATTTATCAATACTGCTGCTGTGTTGATGCATTGTGTTTGATTACTCAGTTTTTGGTGGTTCCTTGTTCACTATCATGTATACGTTTTACCACAATAAGTTGCACGTCTATTACTTGTTATGCACATAGAAAATGCATGTTCTCATGGTGATGTTGGCATTTCTGCACCTAATAGATTTAGATGACAATTACGAAGAAATATTAAGTCATTTTTAAATGTATTATCGTGTTTTTGGTCGTTTGCTTAGGGTGTTGTCAGTTGGAGACCTGTGTTGATCATACATGTTAAATACTGCATAAAATAGTGAGGTGTTGCGTTTCATTTAGGGCCAGATGCCCTAACTTAACATGCACTGCATCGATAAACAGTGGCTACTCATTCCCTGTCGTAACGTTATTCACTTTTTGCACACTACCCAGAGTCATGATGACTGTGCCAACAGCTAGTGCCTATGTGCTATGGAAACAAGCGCGGATACTCTGAAAATATTTTTAACGGAGGGACGAACACACTCCTTTAGTTAGCCGGTAGTCAATTTGCCTGAACGAAAATAAAACTATCAGGATCACGTTGTACCCGTCCGACAATGATTCAGCGAGTTATTATGCGTTTCTGCTTGCTATTCAACTAACGGCAGCTAGCTTGCTAGCTAGCGCGTGCTACGACTGTCTAGCCGAGAACCCGGGTAAGAGCCTTTACAAAGTAATGATACCTGCTTCAACGTTCTAGACACACACCAATCTACCTGTCGCTGGTGAACGAATAGTGTTTACTGTTTCGTTTTTACTTGAAGCAGGGATGGTGCAAGAGTGGTGAGTGCGGGCTTATTTTGAGGCCTGTGCAGCCCCGACCTAAATTAGTTAAGAGTCAGCTCAGGACAGCATGGTGAATTTGTGAGATCTGAATTGACAGCTGTGGAACAAATGGTGAACACGGCTTGAATGTTGGTTAGCCACATTGTATGTGTCTATCGTTGTGCATTCATGCATTGTTTGTGACTTTGTTAAGTTTTATATTTGGTCGTATGCAAATGCTTTAAAGTATTTCGAGAGAGAATCGTTTGCTAACGTTACCGGTAGCTCAGTGTTAGCTGGACAGGGGCTAACGTTCACTCCGTAGCAAACGTTACTGATCGTTTCTTTGGCACGTTGAATATCCCAACGGTTTTTTTTGTAAGACATTTTGTTAGCTAGTGACCAAGGAAACCAATTTTGTCTGTGACTACGGACGGCAGACGATCATGTATGTAGTGACTTGTTAACAATAGGTAAATAACGTTATGCTGTTAGCAGGTTGACGTTAGCTTGTTAGCTAGGTAGCTATAACTTAAACCTGTCAGCGTCAAGTCACTCGAGTTGGAGAAAGGAAAGCATAGAATGGGCAGTGAACTGTTTTTATAAATATATATATATATATATATATATATACACAGCTCGTATCACATTTACGAGACACTTTAGACAATGGGTTTAGGACATAATATGGGGCCTCATCTGATTTAATTAACTTTGTGTCGTATGTTGCTTGTTAGCCACCAGCTAACGATCTGTCTCAGTCTGCGTTGTGAATATCTGTAGATAATATATGTAGATAACCACATAATATATGTAGATAACCACATTTCGTATCGTTATCACATTGTAACCAGTGATTGTGATCAGTCATCAATGAGCTGATATGAGCTGATTTTTAAAGTAATATGCCAATATCCTAACCCTTGCTTATTGTCCGGGGGCTTTGTCATAATACCAGATTGGTAACTGACTGTAGTATTTTTACCCACTAACTATACATCATGTATACATTTCCATTTATAGTCACAGCAATAAAGTGTTACGCAACATTGTATGGATTGGATGCTCTCCAATTAATTGACAGTTGTACCTACAGCTCTCTTGAAAACCATCATTTATTTGAAATTGAGGCATCTTAAAAGTTAAATAAAATTCTGTTTATTTGTGGAATAGTGGACACTGTTTCATTTTTTTGTAATTTTTTTGCAGGTAACCTGACTAGAACATGCTGTATTGCCAAATTATTCTCTGTAAGTACATTTAACAATTCAAGTTGTGTAGATATATCTTTTTAGATGTTTGGATATTGTCTTATCTTTATAAATGATACATCTAAGTAGTTCTGTATTATAATACATTGAAATTCAGTATCACAAGTATTTTTTCTGATGTTCATAAACATTTCTCAACAGGAGCAACAAATAGAGATTATCGACAATGAAGGTCGACAGAAGCAAGTTAAAGAAAACTCCTACGGAAGCTGTGAGTATGCTTAATATTTGCTGTGTGTCCATTCCTGGCCACATTATTGCCTAATTAGACCAAGGAAAGCCGATTCCAAACTGTAAGGCATCTACTTGCGCTCAACTATGTTAACCCAATTATTTGTGTGCCTTGACACCTCTCAGTTTAGGGCGCAGAGTCATAGTTTGGCCCTGGTCATCAGAAGAACAAAAAAGTATTCGATGGCAGCAGGGTTATCCCCTACTTGGGGTTTTAAAAAATTGGCCATAATTGTTTTGATGAATATAGATTTGAATTGTGTTTTTGGCCACACTCTTAGCAATAAATACATTGCATAATATCGGCCATTTTCAGGTTTAGGCGTAGTTATTGGGGCTGCTAGACAGGTAGTTGAGCAGGCAGGGATTACAGACGCCAATGATGTTTGGGCATTCGGCTCTAGGGACAGGCTTGCTATATGTCAGGGGTGCGACCAAGTACCACAGCCCTGTTAGGCTTCTTCTCTGGACTGCAGCCACACATTCAGGGATGTTTTCAACATGAGGAGCAATAATCTTCAACCTCAATATCATGGCCAATCATGTTCATTTAATTGTAAGAAGCTAACATTTTGATTATTAATTTTCCATGATATGAACTGAGTTCACTTAAGAGCATTGCTCAAGTGTGTTGATAGTTTTCTATATTCCTATGTGGTCAGTGCCCTAACAACTGACTAACCATTTTGTGCTCTTTTGGGACCAACAGCCTGCTGACTGCAGGATTCTAATAGAGAAGCTCAAGGCCTGCAATGATGAGCAACTATTGGTTGAACTGCAGCACATCAAGACCTGGAATATTGGCAAGGTAAGCCTCAAAGAAAAGAAGGTGTGGCATCTCCCTCAGTCTTTCTTTGGGAACCCTCTCTTAACAATACATTTGTTACATCAGGGTTCCTAGCTCAGTCAATGATTTTTTTGAATATCGCAGACATGAGTGTTATATTTTGGGAATATGATAGGCAGTGGGACATTTCTAAGACTGTCTAAACTAAATTGTCTTTTTTCAAATGCTGGGCCGAGGTTAATGACAACAGCTTTATCGACATTTAAGGTCTGCTGATCACATAGAATAACATTTTAAAGCATATACAGGGGAGTGGTTTTCAGCAGTTTTATTTAAACATTGTTGCTTCATGTCACAAGTGTAAAATCTATTTACTGTAACCATTAGAAAAGAAAACAAGCCAACTGGGATACACATTATTGTGTGGCATTTTACAGTAGATAATAGAAATTCATCCATTCCAAAATCCTTCCTTATTGGAAATAAGCCCACTCTAAGGATATTAAAGCATACTATTTACTTGATTGATCTCTGAAGGTTCCTTGTTTGTCTCCAACAGTGTGAGCTGTACCACTGGGTGGATCTACTGGACCGCTTTGATGGCATTCTGTGTGATGCAGGCCAAACGGTGGAGAATATGTCATGGCTGCTGGTGTGTGACCGTCCTGACAACGGACAGCTCAAAGCCCTGCTTTTGGCAGTGCTCAACTTCACAGCCCTGCTCATTGAGTATAGCTTCTCTAGGCACCTCTACAGCTCCATAGAGGTAGGCTTGAGTGTAGTACACTCACCACTAATGTTGTTTTTTCTAGACTGTATATGTCACAAAGAAAACAGTAAGCAGCTCCCTAACTTTAACCCTCTTTTTTATCTTACAGCACTTAACCACCTTGTTAGCGTCATGTGACATGCAGGTGGTCCTGTCTGTGCTGAACCTGCTCTATGTATTCAGTAAGCGCTCAAACTACATCACGAGACTAGGATCCGACAAAAGGACGCCTCTACTGGCCCGTCTGCAACACCTGGCTGAGGTCTAGTGAATGCCATTGTTTTCCTATTTCCAAAGTTCTTGCTGTCGCTCGAGAGAAAGAACTGTGTTGTTTATATTCTCTTTGTTGTCTTCTGTAGAGTTGGGGAGGAAAGGAGAATGGCTTTGGCCTGGCTGAGTGCTGCAGGGATCTGCTTATGACGGTAATAATTTTTAATAAGTGATGTTTAATAACTATCTATAAATTAGTATAATGTTTTATTAAAACAAATTAACCACTCTTTTCAAACAATCTTCCCTTTTGATGCTGCCTCCTGATGATACATACAGAAATACCCGCCCAGTGCCACCACACTGCACTTTGAGTTTTATGCTGAACCTGGCCCTGAGGTCAAAGTAGAGAAAAAGGTAAACCATGACAATCATTAATGCAATCACTATGTCATTAAAAATATATTTGTGTCATTTGGGATATTTCGTTGATGACTCAACTTCCTTCTAAACTTTTCTGAACCTCCCTTTTTTTTTCTTCTTCACCAGACAAGTAGTAATACACTACACTATATACACATCGAGCAGCTTGACAAGGTACAGTCAGATACGAATTGTGTCGTTACCAGTTGATTAATAATACCTTGGGGTCTCCATCTTACACATGTTGTGTGTCTCAGATTTCAGAGAGCCCATCTGAGATTATGGAGTCGCTGACGGTGATGTACAACATCCCAAAAGACAAGCAGACGCTGCTGTTCACACACATTCGTCTGGCCCATGGTTTCTCAAATCACAAGAAGAGATTGCAGGCTGTGCAGGCCCGTCTACATGCCATCTCTATACTGGGTGAGTAAAAGTCATCTGAAGGTAAAGCAACAAAGGGTTTTGTTCCAAGTTTTAACTTCTGACGTTTTCTGTTTCCTTGCAGTGTATTCAAACGCACTCCAAGAGTCAGCCAACAGTATTCTATATAATGGCTTGATAGAGGAGCTGGTGGATGTATTACAGATTACAGACAAACAGCTTGTGGTAAGAAAGTAGTTTGCTTTTGCTGCTTAATGACAATGTTACTTCACTAAATTCCACATTAGCAGTTACATTATATTTGTAAAATGACATCAGATATCTTTTGCTTTGTCAGACTTTTCTTAATGTGTGTATTCTCTACTGTCTAATGCAGAACTATCTTCAAAGTCTTTCATTTTCAGTTATGTCAAAGTGAGACTGAAATGTATTTTGTTCTTTAGGATATCAAGGCAGCATCTTTGCGCACTTTAACTTCGATTGTCCATCTGGAGAGAACACCCAAGCTTTCCAACATCATCGACTGCACTGGCACTGCCTCCTACCATGGCTTCCTGCCAGTGTTGGTGCGCAACTGTATTCAAGCAATGATCGGTGAGAACAGTTAAGTGTGTGACACAAAATCAAAATAGGACAATTCAAATGGAAGTTTGGTTGGTAACTTTTGAATTTGACTTTGATAGATCCTCTGATGGAACCCTACCCGCACCAGTTTGCCACTGCACTCTTCTCATTCCTCTACCACTTGGCTAGCTATGATGCTGGTGGGGAAGCCCTTGTGTCTTGTGGCATGATGGAAGCTCTCCTGAAGGTATGTTCTGGTCCTATGGATTCTAAATGGCCAAATAAAGTTGTTTTTTGTTTAATTAAGTCTTCCCTTTTAATGATCTTTTGTAGGTTATCAAGTTTCTTGGTGATGAACAGGACCAGATTACCTTTGTGACACGAGCAGTGCGGGTCGTGGACCTCATTACCAATCTTGACATGGCTGCCTTTCAGTCCCACAGCGGCCTTACCATTTTCATCTCTAGGCTAGAGGTTGGTTATGCGTTTTGGATTTTCATTCGTGACACAACAGCATTCCACTAGAGAATCCCTGAAACGTCTGCCAAAGATGTGGTCTCACTCATTCTTCCATCTTTCTCTCGATCTCTACGCAGCATGAGGTAGACCTGTCGAGGAAAGAGTGCCCTTTCGTCATCAAGCCAAAGATGCAGAGGCCCAGTACAACTGTCGAGTCTGAGGACATGGAAACTGACACGGAGAGTAAGTTATTCATTCCTAATATCTATGCAATGTTCTCACTGTTATAAATGATTAAGTCTATTCTAAAAATGCTAGGCTATTAGTCTTGTGCCAAGTTAGAATAGATTAAGAAGATTCTCCTGGCTGTTGTTGATTTGCTTAACATTATGATTTCTTACAGTGTCAGAAGTTGCCATGGACAGCAGCCCTGGACCATCCACATCTTCTGGTTCCAGATCAGAAACGGACCAGAAAGCACAGGGCAGTGCTGCCAACGCACCTCGTCCAGGTAAATACAGTAAACGCGCACAAACAATTACAAAAACACCTTCCACTAATGTACTCTATAATCACCATGACACTCTATGTCTCTCTAGGTGTGCAGTGTATCCCCCAGAGGGCAGCCCTGTTAAAGTCAATGCTAAATTTCTTGAAGAAAGCCATCCAGGACCCTGCCTTTTCTGACGGTATTCGCCACGGTGAGTCATTGGCATCCTCTTACTTGTTCTATAGGCTCAAGCCTTCTGTACATCTTATGTATTCATGGTAAACTGATTCAAAAACAGTTGCCTTTAAGATCTATTATTTAATTATGCAAATTTTGATTTCTAACTTGTCTATGTGCGATCTCTTTCTCTCCAGTAATGGATGGGTCCTTGCCTACCTCACTCAAGCACATCATCAGTAATGCAGAGTATTATGGCCCTTCACTGTTCCTCTTAGGTGAGTTCACAGTAGCGCTTCAGAAAAGCTCTTTAACTGCTCTTCTGACTCAGAAGTGAGAAAGTGTTCTCACTTGACTCGGCAGATGCAAAGTCATATTCAACTTGGTGTCGACTGGAGAAGTGAATTGAATGTTTTGACTTGGCATTGTTTTGGATTATAATCTCTTTTTTAAATGTTTATTTTCTGTCCTTCTGGTTTATAGCGACGGAGGTTGTGACGGTGTTTGTGTTCCAGGAGCCATCCCTGCTCTCCTCCCTGCAGGATAATGGTCTCACTGATGTCATGCTGCATGCCCTTCTCATCAAAGACGTGAGTTTCCTCCACTGCCCCTGTGTGCTACATGTTCTGCCCGTTTCCTCCTTTTTTCTTGTCTCTTGCTGATATTGAGTTAAATTGTATTATTGTCTTGTCTATTTTTCTTTCTCTGTCGAAGCGCCTGTATTGAATTTGATATCTGAAATTGTTAGTTAAGTTGAAATACTTCCGATTTGTGTGGTCCATTGGCTGACCCAGGTTATAGTATGTTGTTTCAACGACCTAATCATCCTGTTATGTGAAGAAGGGTCACAATGAGAGCCTGCATGTTGATGTTTAGATCTTTAACGGGGAAAGAGGAAATTAGCTCATTCTCACTTTCCCCCTATTACATTGTTTTTTTGATTTTGTTTATTTACTCTAATTGCATATTCATCAGATCTCTTTTTTCCAGGTCCCTGCTACCCGTGAGGTGTTGGGTTCTCTTCCCAATGTGTTCAGTGCCCTGTGCCTGAATGCAAGAGGCTTGGGCTCCTTTGTTCAGTGCCAGCCATTTGAGCGCCTCTTCAAAGTGCTTTTGTCCCCTGACTACCTGCCTGCCATGCGACGGCGACGTAGCTCGGACCCATTGGGTGAGTCAGACTCTCTGTTCTCTGTTTGGATACATTCACACCGAATCAGGCACATTCAAGGAAAATGAAAGTTAGCCCACATTCAAATGAATTGGAGTTTTAGTTTTTGGTGCTCAATGGGCCCTTAAAGTGGCGCTCCCACACCACTGCTGTTAACCGCAATGCCTGATTTAATGTGAACGCATCCTCATTCAGTTGTTTACCCTTGGAACCTGCTTAATTGGAGGACATGTTATAATAATATAATATTCTTTCTTAACTTCAGGTGACACTGCATCCAACTTGGGCAGTGCTGTGGATGAGCTCATGAGGCACCAACCAACTTTGAAGACTGATGCTACTACTGCCATTATAAAGGTAGTGTACCTTCATTTACAAGAAATCTTTTGGCAAATGTTTTGTAGAACAGTTATTAAAGCTAAACCTTTGTTACAGTTACTGGAGGAGATCTGCAACCTAGGTCGAGCCCCTGAGTACATCTGCCAGAAACCGTCTATCCAGAAAGCCGATGGCACTGTGGCGGTGCCCCCAGCTCGCTCCAGCCATGCTGCTGAAGAAGCCTCAAGTGAGGATGAAGAAGAAGAGGAGGCCCTCCACACTTTCAGCCAGCAGCAGGGGGAACCAGAGAGCACCAGACAGTCAGTGCCACTTGAACTGTATGACGCTGAGTTCATATCACACTAGAATAGAAAAACAAGTCCTTACAGACTTCAATTTTTGTTCAAATCAATCGACTACATTTCAAATACTGTAGTTGGTAGTCATTTTCATTATATTCATTTTTGTTTGCAGGGTGGTTGGCACTGAAGAGCGGATACCTATTCCTCTGATGGACTATATCCTGAATGTGGTGAGTGTGGATTCTTGGACCGTTCAATATGGTTCTGATCATATTGTGAGATACTCCCCCTGTGAAGCAGAGCTCACCTCATTTCAGTCAGTCACTGATTTGTGATGCATGTGTCTTCTAGATGAAGTTTGTGGAATCCATTCTAAGCAACAACACCACAGACGACCACTGTCAGGAGTTTGTCAACCAGAAGGGTCTGCTGCCTCTGGTTTCTATTCTGGGCCTTCCCAACTTGCCCATAGACTTCCCTACGTCTGCTGCCTGCCAGGCTGTGGCTGGGGTCTGCAAGTCTATACTGGTGAGCACAAACAATACATCACTGTGGTGACTTTTTTATTCATTGCATATATTAATCAGGAACTTCAACATGAAATTGATGAGGAAAATAAAAAATCAGTTGGCTGAATTGAGACTAAAGCGTTTCCCTTAACGTCTCCCCCCTTAGACTCTCTCTCATGAGCCTAAGGTACTCCAGGAAGGCCTTTGCCAACTGGACAGTATCCTGTCGTCTCTGGAGCCACTCCATCGACCAATCGAGGTGCCGGGTGGTTCTGTGCTTCTCAGAGAACTGGCTAACGCGGGCCATGTCACCGATGCAACGTTGTCCGCCCGTGCAACACCACTGCTCCATGCTCTTACTGCAGCACATGCCTACATCCTCATGTTTGTGCATACTTGCAGAGTAGGACAGGTAAATACGGGTGCATTTCCTATACAACCAGAATTGATAACCCCTCAACCAACCTTGTAGAGAAATGTTATCTTTTATGTTTATGACCAAAAATTTCCAAAAAAAGTTCTGTATGTTAAAGTTGTCAGCAATAAAGCATGCAGAGGGGTTATTTTTTTAAAGGCCCGGTTTTTCATAGAATTTAGAGAACTATTTAAAAGAAATTTCAAGCTATGGAGGTTTTTCTTCAATTGTACTGTTTCAGAATGGTTCAGCAGATTTACAGGTTTCTGTTCTCTTTCCAAACAGAGTGAGATCAGAGCTATCTCAGTCAACCAGTGGGGATCCCAGCTGGGCTTGAGTGTTCTCAACAAGCTCAGTCAGCTCTACTGCTCTCTGGTGTGGGAGAGCACCGTGCTGCTGTCCCTTTGCACGCCTAACAGGTACATCTCTTGTCCTTTTAGCCCCTTTCTTTAAAAGTTAGATCCGCTGTGACCAGGGTAGGATTTTCACGGCGGCCATGGCCGTCGTAGCCCCTCGGTCTGGCCGTTATGCCCCACAAATAATTGTACGTCCTACGGCCACCATGGCCTGTGTGCCCCTGATACTGTTAAAATCTCGACGTTGCTTTAAAAGCGACAGAACAGTGATTTGTGAACTGCATTATGCTGCGTTCACAGCAGACGCAATGCGAATATTCTCATCGCTCTAACCGCTGGAGTTTCACCGCGGCTGTCAGCTGTGTTTACTCCTGTCATTCAAACAGGACGCGCTGGAGAGGGGGCAGGGCTTATTTCCATGTAAATACTGTGGTGGAAACCAACTACGACAAAATTAACCGATTTTACAGTGATTTAATTGTAATACACGTTTCAAAATGATGCCGAAGTAACTACATACTGATACCAGTTAGTAAAAAACATGAATTAATGCTTTGACAAGTCTGCAGACAAGACGGCAGTCGAAAAACCTTTTAAAATGCGTGTTTTCTGAATGGATCAATCAGGCTAAACTAACCTGTAGCTGCTCCGTCCACACTCACAACAACGTCCTAAAGACAGAATTAAAGCAGCGATTGTATTCGTCATGACAGTCTGTGGTTTGTACATGTTTAACTTTTGTCCAGTTTCTGACCAGAGCTGTGAGGAGTTGATTAAACACACACACACACACACACACACACACACACACACACACACACACACACACACACACACACACACACACACACACACACACACACACACACACACACACACACACACACACACACACACACACACACACTTACTTCACTGTGCACTGCTGAACGATGTATGTGCAGAGTTTGACCCTTGAAGGCTGTTTCTTCTGCTCTGAAATAGAGTATATTTGTTACATATTAATAGAATTTTAGATTTTTTGATTTGATTTGTGAATGGGAGAAGTAGTATATGGAAAACATGCCAAACACTAATTATTCCAAGTGGAGTATTTAATTTTATATACGGTAATACTAAGGAGGCATAGGCCTATATGATATCATGTTTGACATTATTGATATTAAAACAGTGATTTGTTTTCCATGTCATTCGTGTGTTTTTCTTATCAAAAAGTGAAGTTATTTATTTGTAAGCTCCAAATCCAAATGTTTCCCTCAATGGCCTTTGTGCCCTGGCATGTGGCCTTTGCGCCCTGAAAAAATGTGTAACACCAAAGGCCAAATGGCCTTGCCCCTAAAATGGCGAAATTCCAAGCCTGGCTGTGACTCTAACACCTGCTTGTGCTCAACAGTCTGCCTCCAGGATGTGAGTTCGGCCAGGCTGACATGCAGAAACTGGTGCCCAAAGACGAGAAGCCATCGAGCAGCACTGCAACCACTGCAGCTTCTGGTTCCAGGAGAACCGGTAATTTAATCATTTCACTTTGTTCATCAAATTCCACCATGTCCCTGGAACACAACTTCAATCTCCTCCTCCTACCTATCCAGCAGATTCTGAGGCGGTGACGGTGGATTCATCAGCCGGTGGGCTGTTGGAAGGCATGGGTCTAGATGGGGACACCTTGGCTCCCATGGAGACGGACGAACCCACTGCAACGGACCCTAAGGCCAAGTCCAAACTTACCCCAGCTATGGCCACCCGCATTAAACAGATTAAACCACTCCTCTCTGGTAAGATACATTCTTTCAGACACAATCCCATTTTGTTTCACTTTATAAATTAACAGATACATCTTCAATATCAGAATGTCTTAAATTGCCTTAAATCCCCATGAGGTCTCTCACTAACTTTGTGTATTTCCAGCTTCATCTCGATTAGGCCGGGCTCTGGCTGAGCTCTTTGGCCTGCTGGTGAAGCTGTGTGTGGGGTCTCCAGTGCGCCAACGTCGCTCCCACCATGCCACGAGCACAGGAACCACCCCCACGCCTGCTGCCCGGGCCACTGCCTCTGCCCTGACCAAGCTCCTCACCAAGGGTCTGAGTTGGCAGCCACCACCCTACACACCCACCCCTCGTTTTAGGTAAGAGCCCTTTGTATTAACTTAACACAGTTTTTCATTGTTAAATGAGCTTGGCACACAGAGCTGACCTTTTTATGTTTTTTTTTGTCTGGCAGGCTGACCTTCTTCATCTGCTCAGTGGGCTTCACATCCCCCATGCTGTTTGATGAGAGGAAGTACCCCTACCACCTCATGCTGCAGAAGTTCTTCTGCTCTGGAGGTCATGATGCCTTATTTGAGTAAGTCCCTTGATGTAGTGCATATCAGTCAAAAACACATTTTAATATTCATGTGCTTGCTTAAGTCCACAACATACGAATGTGTATTTTAAACAGGAGTTTTGCTTTTGTGCAGGACATTTAACTGGGCTCTATCGATGGGTGGGAAGGTGCCTGTCACTGAGGGTCTGGAACATACTGATCTACCCGATGGGACCGGGGAGTTTCTGGATGCCTGGTTAATGCTTGTGGAGAAGATGGTGAACCCGAGCACTGTGCTGGACTCACCCCATTCCCTGCCAGCTAAAATGCCTGGAGTCACACCCACCATGCCCCAGTTCAGCGCCCTTCGGTTCCTCATAGTCACACAAAAGGTAAGTTTCCACTTGCTAGTTCATTCAAATGATTATTTTGCTTCTTGCTGATAAAATAGATCAAACTTGAGGTTGATGTTTAATCAAGTTACATAACGCAGGGAACACCAGGGAAATGGGAAAGATGGACTCTCTAAGGTACCCCCCTGCTCCCTTAAAAAAAAAAGATTGTTCTCTATTGTAGTTTGCATACCATGTTGAGTAAAGGACAAAAAAGAACTTATCAAACTTTGTTAGAATCTGCAATTTTCTAAATAATTGTAATCTAAATAACGGCTAGGTGATTTGAACTCCTTGTAAACATAGTAAACATGCCCCTGTTGTAGGGCTGAACGATTAATCGATTTTAAATCGAAATCACGATTTTAAATGATGCGATTATGAAATCGCAAAGCCTGCGAATAAAAAAAAAAAAAAATGGTTTAGATTTTTTTTCTTGATTTTTTTTTTTTTCTTCTTGTGAGTCAGTCATCCACACCAATCAGAAGTGCTATATACAGATTGATCCAATCACCTGCCAAGTATTTTGAAAGTGCCTGCCCTTTCCAAATGGCTTCCAATGGAGCTTTCCTAGATGGTTTGGTGAAACAAACCATCTGAATCAGGTTATTAAGGCTCCATCACATGTTTTACATCTATTACAGGGTGAATCTTAAAGGGGACCTATCATGCAAAATGCACTTTGTGATGTCTTTTATACATAAATATGTGTCCCCGGTGCGTCGGGGAACTCAAGCAGTATCAGAAAATAAAACCCTCTCTCTTTTCCTCCGTACCCAAATCTTTTAAAAAACGGGTCTACAACAAGCGGATACAGATTTGATGCCGATATGACGTCAAATCGGCAGCGGACCCACAGAAAGTTGCTATCAGAAACAATGCCTGACGTGTTTTGGACGTAATCTCGTCTTTGTTTACATTAGCAAGCCTCGCTAACACTCAGAGCTAACCTGTATGTGTTTAAAAAGCAGGAAATAAAAAAAGGAACTCACCTTTGATAAACCCGCAAGAGAAAAAGCATTTGCGCGCTCACATACCTCCGCCCGCGCTTTCAGAAATAATCTTTGGATGGTGGGGTAGAACAGGATTTGCGCTTTATCACAGCAAGAATTTAATTTATCCCGGTGAATTCTGATCAGGCATTAGCTCCGCCTCCCCTTTCTTTTTTCTTTTTTCCATTTTTTCTTTTTTTTTTAAAGGCTAAGGACCCAAAATGGCCCGCGTTTTCTCTGCAGGGCTGCAAAAAGAGGGGGTATGAAAGCAAGTATGAGGCATGGCTACAAATCGGGTGATCGGTTTGGGTATTTTGAAAAACAACTTCCACAGACCCATGTTTTTTTGTATAGGTATTCTTTTTCCCAATAGATCAGCATATAGGGTCGTTCCACTTTAAACTGAGGCTTGAACTTTAAAGCGAACCCAACGGAAGTTTTCATGTAAGTNTGATGAGACCGCTTTGGTTGGCCCCGTGGATGGGACATTTTGTTTTAAAAAACGGACGGATGGAAGCATCGATAAGAGCACGGTTGTTTGCAAATTATGCAAAAGCATAATTTGCAAACAACCGTGCTCTTATCGATGCTTCCATCCGTCCGTTTTTTAAAACAAAATGTCCCATCCACGGGGCCAACCAAAGCGGTCTCATCAGCTTGTTCGTTCATGTTTGACTATTGTTCACTGTGGTTTGTTGTTGTTTGAAGTCATGAACGTTAGTTGGTGCTCCAGTATAATCGGTACCCCTGAAACTAATCCAGTGAGAAACGTTCCGCGGTGCAAAAATAAGTGCGATTAAAATGCGTTAATCTTTTTAACGCGTTAATTTTTGTGTAATTAATTCATCTTAATTAACGCGTTAAAGTCCCGGCCCTAATATATATATATATATATTCAAACCAAGCAATGTTAAACAGGAATAACTGTGGAATATTTGCTTTCAATACCCATGGAAACAGTTAAATTGAAAATAATTTCTTCCAGAAAAGGGCTGAAACTGTAATATTGTGGGCACGTTAATGTAGTTATTGTTCATTCATGCTATGTATACAAAGTTTTCACTTATATTTTGTTACTGTTTTAAATTTTTTGACAGAAATACGTTATATCTTATAACACACTATCAATCTACATGTAGAAGATGTTCTTTTCTTCATCGATTTGAGAGAGTATCCTCATGCTTGCCGCCCTGCTAACCTTTCATGGCTATCACATTACATCCTGGGTTCCTGTGGCCTGCAGTTGAAGTCTATGGAATTGAATTGTGCTGCAGGGATTTGGTGAGGGCAGATTGCTCTGTGAGTCGGCAGCACAGTCAGGCTGCCGGATACTGTTACGCCTTTATTTTACGGGTTCCAAACTGCTCAGGGATGTTGACTGTTTTTCTGTGTATGAGCAGTAGATTCTGTTGATAGGTTCGATAAGACACACAAGAAGACAGATGCATATATGCAGCATTGTCTTCCACAGGAAATGGCAGGTTATAGGTGTTAAAGCCTTCATATGGAGATAGACAAAAGCAATGATTGAATATTAGAGGTGTGTTTGTGGGTTCAGATTTGCGTTAAGTGCGTTTTTACCTATAAGTACCTGTCAGAGAGTGATGACATTTTGCATTGTGAACATTTATTTTGATCTAGAATCATTACTTTGTTGTTGTTCTTTTTTGCAAAGATTATTTCATCGAACAATTGTTGTAATACCCATAAAGGGCGAAGCAGTTATGTCACATATAAGATTCAAGATTCAAAGGTTTAATGTCATATGCACATAACCTACTGTGTAGAAATGGCAATGAAAATCGTATGTCCCGAGCAGAGGTTGCGCTAGATTTTTTCGTTGCCCGTCATTTTGACGGACAGGATTGTAACATTTCCGTCAAAATCCGTTATTACCCGTCGGTCTGTACAACTCTGACAGGGGGGGTTGTGAACTGTCAACGGAGGGAGGGGGGGGGGGCGCACGCTCGTGAACTGTTAGCGCCGTGTTATGTATGCCCAGCCCACTCCACCTCACGGGAGCGCGCCACGCCGCCACAGCGTAAAGCAAAAACTCACAGACATTTCAATGATTTGTACGGCAAAGTACGGTTTGGAAACAATATCATTTCCTTTTTGGTGGGCATGCATAACAACGGAACCTCGCTGCGGGGAAACTTTGGCGCTGTTCTGAGTTTGTTCTAATCTGTCAAAATGACGGACTGCTTTCAGTTTTTTCCGTCATTGTTAAAAAAGGAAAATATTCGGTTAACCCAACCACTGGTCCCGAGCTCCTTCAACAATAAAACATAGTTATATAAGAAATATACAATAAAACACATTTAAAAAGAATAGTGCAAGAAAAAGTCTACACGTAAATAGAATAGGATATACAAGATGGAGTCTGATTTGGACCTTGTGTTGATTAAAAAACCAAATTAATCGATGAAGACTTTCATCTAAGGCGAGACACGGCAGGCAAAAACATGGTTTTTCAAGCACTGGTCCATTTTGAGATTTTGGGCTATTTTGATTCTATAACATTTTTTCTTTGGGGCTTTTGGAAGGAAAACGTACAAAATACACACTTAAGCGTTTATTTTACTATAGTTTGTCTATTTGCGTCTGTAGATTTCTCCTAAATTCACCAAAAGTTAGCATTCTAACGTAACATAAAGTACCTCGACCGCTGTGTGCACAAACATTCACAGAGAAGACGACAACAATTGTCACTTGCACGAAGCAAGTTTATACAAAAAACAAATGACCCCGAACATGAAATACCTTCACGGAGTGCGTCGATGAGCAAGCTGTCATCCAGAGAACAGGAGGGTTTAGCTAGCGCCTCACTGCAATCTTTAAAGGTTGTTTTCTCAAAATGAGTTTTTTCTCCTACTCTGAGTTCGAAATTTAAACTTCAGTAGCATGTAGATACACCAAACCTTCCAGTTATATTCCTATCAATATTATGATGGCTTTTACAGAAGGGTTTGTTCATATATCATTCATAGCCTGAATTATACAACATTGTATACCTAAAAACATGGCAAAAATTGATATTTTAGGGCTGTTGACAGTATTTTCAGATTTATGGAGTGATAAAGAGAGATATCCAATATCCCTTCTGTAAAAGCCTTAGATACTAATATGATTACAAAATGAAACAAGAATTTTGAACCTGGCTTTATCCAAAGTTCAGATTTCGATTCCTGAAATGTGTTAAAATATGCACATATTTAATGAGATAATGGCGAATTTGCATATTTAAACAAAACTTGTAATACAAAAAACAATTGCCTTATTGTAAGTAATTAACTGGAGAGATTTATAGCTGATACCTTTAAGTTAAAAAAAGTACCCTATTCACCTGGGGTGTCTCGCCAGGAGATAATGCCTGAAGTGGAACACAGCATACATGTTCGTATGGCAATTAGGATCTTTATGTTATTTTAAATAGAATATCTTTGCTTATACAGTAGCTCCTACTATTTTATAACTGTGTCGATCAATATTTGGCCATAATAAGGCATGAAGAATTTTGTAAAAGCAGACTTTGCAAGATGAGCTGTTGTATTGATGGCAAAAGACAGTGCAGATATTTTTAACCTGAATGTGTATGTCTTTAAAACAAATAAAAACATGTCATTTTTTGTTGTCAGTGGCATGCTATCCATGATCCACCTGCTCTGCATGGTGCTAATGATTTGTACACCTCTACATGATAGATGAAAGAGTTGATACATCATTAAATAATCGAATGATGAAGCTTTCTCATCTTAATACATATTCTTGTACAGGAATGTTCTCTCCAGGGACCCCGTTCTTTTAGACTTATTGCATTCTGCACTTTGTCAAAATGGAAATAAGCCCTGTAGGTTATCCAGATAACCCGCTGAGTTGGCCTGAGGGGGCCTGAGAATAAAGATTAAAGTCCCTGATGTTCATAGCTCTCTGGTGTGAGAATAGATTAAGCTTGTTGAAAATCTCTCCCCCTCTTCGATTTGCACCTGACTCATGCCTGTGCCTTATTTACATTCTGAAATGTTTCTCTTCAGGACGGAAACAAAAATGACTCAACGTCTTCTTTCCTGTTTGTTCTTTAGTGGCAGCCAATGTTATACCAGGAGAGTTCCGTTCAATACATTTGTGTTGCTCAAACGGCATCATGTCCATCAAATCAGAGATGGACGACACTAAAGGACTTAAGTCAGAGGTTAAATAAAAAAGCTAATATCAACCCTAAATATGTCAAGCCCTATGTCTATGTGCCACCTTATGTCCCTGCTGTACACCTAAAATAGACCGAACCAGAGTCCTGAGGCGTGTACCAGGCTTTGAACTTGAGAACAATTCTTCTACATATATAACAAGATGGTTTAAGTTTAAATGGCCCGGCATTATCTAATTAGTTAAAAGTAGCTCCACCTTTATCATCTGCAACACTTAAGTAATGCCTCATTACAATTATTATATTATAATTCAAGTAATATAATATACTTTAAAATCTTTAGTAATTTTGCATAATGAGTACTTTAAGTACATCTGAATGCTAATTGAAGAACACATCTGAATGCAGGATATATCAATAGTGAAGTTATTGCTACTGCTAGCATCAGTATAATTCTGCTCGTTGCGCTTATTCATGCTTACAAAAGCATTCACTATTCATCCAAACAACTGCTCTTTCCAATTATGTCACAAAAGTGTCTAAGATACAAAGAAAGTCCAAACTAAACAGTTAATTAAAAGTAGTGTATAGCCAAGTCAAGTTATACTCTACTTAAATAGTGAAACATGTGGTTACCCTTGTGCTTTATGGATTCTACTTATTATTCTTTGGGTTTCTTCAGTCGTCAATAATTAACCAATTGTTCTGATAAAAATGTACTTCACTAATTGAAAGAAGTATCCCAATCCTTCGACTTGGACATTTGATACAGTGCATAAAGGCCCCAAAAGTTTTGCTTTTGCACCATGTAATATTTAATGTTTTATAGATTATATGGGCGATTCATGAATAAATATATACGCCTTTAGTAATTAAGCTTATTTTGTTAGCAGAAAAGGGCCAACATACCTGTAAGAACTCATAAAAAACTCCTACATACCTGAGTAATCTGTCACGTTATATGCCACTTACGTAACGTAACCTTACTTTTCAGATTGTATTCTTGCCCAAAACAATGATCTTTGTTTAAACTTAGAGCTGTATTGCCTTAATGTAATCAAGTCGTTTTGTTAACCATTCAATGCTGTTGTTTTGTTATAAAGAATGTTTGAGCAGTGAATGCAGTTAGACAATAAGGAATATTGTTTGTTGG